TTTGTTGCAAATGAAAGTTTAAGGAGGGGGAGGGGGGGAGGCAATTGTCACTGACCCTAATAGTACGTGGGTCTTTGTAATTTACTCGAAGGCCTCGTTCACTTTTCGGTAAGTTATTTACCCGGGTAAGTGCATTTACCCATGTTCTTTTATTTCCCAAGTAAATAATGCATTGACCATTTTAGCCATTAAAATTCATTATTAAAAGGGGTAATTTTATTCCATTCAAGTATTGACAATTTTCCCTCTAGGTGGTACCCAGGAAAATAAACTTTCCTTGGTCCCCATATAAATCTGAAAAAAAAAAGAACATGAGGGTTCTTGGTTAATGGGAACCAGAATCCCATTTCGCATTGACCAACTTCCCCCTCTCAAAATCTCAAAAAAGAATGCCCCCAAAAGAAAAAAAAAAGCTAAAAAGTGTGATCAAACACTTAATCTAAAGAATCCTACAAACTTGTCAATTTTTGAAAAAAAAAATGGTGCCTGATTTGACATATTAGGGAGTGTTGATACTTTGGAGGTTGGCTTCATACTGGGCCAATAGCTACCCATCAGGCTCCTAGGTCTTAATTTAGGCAGTGAAAATTTCATACTGGGCCAATAGCTACCCATCAGGTTCTTAGGTCTTAATATTAGGGAGTATTGATACTTTGGAGGCAAAAGTAACAAAAAATGCATCAATATATATTTTTTGATTAGCCGTTTTTTCAAAAAATGGCAAAAAAAAAGAACATCATCATTTTTTTTTTCAAAAATCGGTCCATTTGACACAAAAAAGAAAGCCCCTATGTTGGTGAGTTACATTACTATTCACACAAAAAAAATCACTTTACATTATCTCGTAAAATTACATAAGTGCCCCTATGCCCAAATGCAAAAGAATTAAAAGCCCAAGAAAGCCCCTACTCACAATACATATTCTCAACAACAATGTCTAGTGAAAATTCTGGAAAGCCCAAGTGCCCATTTGGGAGGGCTTTCTTGCAGTGGTTTCTAACATTACATGGTAAGCTCCACAAAGAAAGCCAGTCCTTTCAAGCAATGTTTGGTGAAAAACTAGGAAAGCCAATAATACACGATTATAAGCTCAGGAATTGACTTTCTGGTGAAGCTATTTAGTTTTTGAAATGGCTTAATCAGCACAGCTCAAGCAAAGCTGAAGCCCTTCCAAATGGGCCCAATTTGTTGACTTTTATCCGAAGGGTTTGTTGTGTTTCTTTTAAAGCTTCTTTTAGTGGCTTCTCCAAAGCAGTTCAACCAAAGTTTCAGCTCCTCTGACCCCCTCCTCGAGTTGGCTATGCTATAAGCAATGCTTGGCCCAGCCTTGCCTAGCAAACCACCACCAAAGTTTGCCTAAGAAAAATTCCATCGTTCTAGTCAAGCTATGTTGTGCAAATGTGTATGGCTTGACCATTTCTCCTTACGATATTATTAGCCATGGTTTTCAAACCCAGACGGTTGGACTGGAAAACTAAGAATTGTTCAGGTGATCGGTTTCGTTTTACCCCAAAACTATTAATTTGCTCAAAAGCGTTGATTTGATTAACAAATCATTGATCCGGACAGTCGAACCGTTCAACGGTTTTGACCATTTTTTATTTTTAATCTTTTTGTTAAAACGGGCCATCCATTCAATTCAAACAATCGAACCATTCAACCTAAGAACTGGACCGCTAACCGGTTCATTGTCTGGTTCAATTTTAAAAACCTTATTATTAGCCTTTTCTTAATTTTAGGTGTACTCGTGACTCCAAAGAAACCGTTCATTTATGAGCTCTCTTGTGCAAACATTAATGTATGGTGATGAATCCCCATTTATCTAAATTTTGTTTAAGTTCATTTTGGACATGGACAGTTGGACACTCATATTTGATAGCAAATAGTGAAATTTGAGTATAAGGCTTAGTTTGGAATGAATACAAATACAAATATGTATCATTAAAATACATACAAAATAATACAAAATACAAGATTTTGCATCTTATATATTTGCATTTGTATTCCTTTCACAGAATACAAATATAAATATGTACAATGCAAAACCTTATATTTTGTATTTCTAAACCATATATTTTCATTGTACATATTTTATACTTTCCAAATTGAGCCAAATAAAAGAATGAAATAGAGGTAGGAATTTTGATTCTCAATGAATTTGGTGCTTAATCGTTTTCACATTCCTATCTTAATCAGTTACTTAACTTGATTAAAACTAATTGTAAGGTTAATTAAAAGATTTTTAAAATTATCTATTTTGAACTAAAATTGTTTATTTCAAAATTATTTTCCTTATTTTCCCAATTTTTTCTAATTTTTGTGTAAAAATTAGGTGGCAACTCCCACAACCCCAATTGAAAACACTCCCACCATAAATAAATTAATAACTTTCCATTTCCTTTTTCTTTCTTTTTAATTTAAGAGTATAAAAGTAGGGCTGTCAATTGGTCAGGCAAACCCAACAGAAGATTACCACATTGATCTAATTACATAAGATTAAGGGTCTAGATTATAATTGGTTTGGGATTAGTTTTGTTAATATATATATATATATATATATATATATATATATATAGATAGATAGATAGATAGATAGATAGATAGATAGATGTACATAGATATTAACATATTACAAAGATGCCCCCAACCTAAGGCCTATGTTTCTCATGATAATGTCCAAACGTGTCAATTTAACTACAGGCTAAAAGTATAGTATAGCTATCAATGATAGCCGCTTTATACCGACTTAGGTTGTGTTTGATATCATTGCCATTTCAGGTTGAAACGTTTCGAGTAGTATGAATGGTGCAAGTTTCAATGGTTAGAGAGGAGAAATCTATTTGGTTAACACTTAACGTTTATAGTCTCAATAACAATGCTGATTAGGCGTTTATAGTAGATATGTGTTTGGTATGTCCTATTTCACGTTGAAGTGTTTAAAATAAATTTTTTAATTCTATTAACAAACACCAATCACATTTCCAATTACTGCTATGCCAATCTAATGGACAAGAATGTTCCAAATCCAGGAATTCATCAGGTTTTATTTTTCTCCAATGTACAGGGGTGTTATGTCTATAAAAGTGTTATCAAGAGCTTCAAGTAGTTTTGAGGAGACGATGGAGCTTGTATAGTGAAGAACATAGAGGTTATATAGCTTTGCTCAAAGTGTTGTATGATACGTGATGCACCGTATCAATTCATCACCATTGATGACAGGTAGACCGTAGACATGTTCATGGGCCAGGCCAGGCTATGTGTGAATATAGTTAGGCTTGAGCCCGAGCTCGGCCCAATCATTGGGCCTAGGTCTTGAGCACGAGCTTGACCCTTATATAAAACCTGAAGCTCGGGCTCGGGCCCGAGCCCAGCTAGAAAATTGAAAAAATATATTTTTTGTCTTTTTAAATTTAATAAATAACTATTTTATTTATATTAAAAGACTTCAAAACCTAAATAATAATGAAAGATCTTACTATTACTTGAAAAAAAAGAAGAACAATAAAGAAAATACATTATCAAGTCGGGCACAGGCTCGAGATGAACTTCTATGAGAAAGCCCTAGTCCGGCTTGAAAAAAGGTCGGATCTGGTGTTTTAGGCCCATGCTCGAGCCCACACGCCTGAAATCCTATCCAAACCCAACATAGATTGGGATGGACCGGGTCGGTCCGTTAGGCTACCCGACCCATTAATAGGTCTAATGACAGGTAAGTGTGGCATCAGCTAAAACATTCATAGACATAATGGCTGTTGGGGGAAAACCTCAATTTGACGTTTCCTCCAACACCCCCTCGTTGCTATTTTCAAATAAAACGTTTTTTTTACTGTTTTGAGTTAAAATAGTCTCAATCAAATAAAAAATTCTCATTGCAATTCAAAATGCCTTGGTGGCGCTGATGTGGTAGGGTTTCAATAGGAAATGGCAATGGTTGTAAATAGGGTGGCAACGAACCGAGCTTTTCACAAGCTGCTCGAGCTTGACTCGACTCGATTTTAGCCGAGCTCGAGCCCAATTCAGTGGCTCGATTATTCAACAAGTCAAGCTCGAGCCTACTAGAACTCGACTCGTAAGGCTCGCGAGCTGGCTTGAATATATATATA